TCATGTTTGTCTGATAGCGCTATAGCAGTATTTTATTTACAAAGGTAAAGAAGAGAAAAAAACGGGGTTTCAGAATAGTGTCTTTGTAACAGACTTTTCATTTATTCCGGACTCGTTATAAGTGGACTCCACTGTACCAAATTTGGAGGCTATCTTCTCGACTATTTTATCACTGAAACATGATGACCCAACCTCCTTCGATCATAAATATCTAGACTTCTATTTGAGATTGATGGATATTTTTTTCTTTCAAATCAAGGCAAATGAATATGTATTGAGATGATATCAAAAACTCCACATGCCCCAAAATTGACGAGCACCTGATTCCACCGCGCCGTGATACATATCTGGCCGACCATCAGCACATCAAAGGCAATGTTGTGCACATTCTGGACCATCATACACAAATCACAGACATGAATTGTACATATTTCATTGTATTCGTGTTTGTTTGTTTGTTTGTTTGTTTGTTTGTTTGTTTGTTTTGTTTTGTTTCTTGCCTGCCTCATTTAAAGCTTTCGACAATTACAAAAGAACTGAACCATCTACATGAATAAAAAAGTTATGTCTCTTTTCAAAATTCCTCCAAAATGGCGCATCCTCAGTGAGTTAACCAACAACATTTGTGAGGAAGCGTGGTGGAATCAGGCTCTCCTCAATTTTTGGACATGTAGAGTTATTGGTATCATCTTTTACTAACTTTTAGCTTGTTCGCTTGTCTTTATTTTGATGAAAAAATATCCATTTATCTTGAATACAAGTCGATATATTTGTGAATGAAGGAGGTGGGGTTACTTGTTTTCAGAGGTAAAATTAGTGAGAAAATGTCCGCCAAAGATTAGTTATTTCCTTAGCTTAAGAGTCGGTGGCAACAGAAAATGACATAATCAACGTTTTTCAGACAAATCCACCCAGAAATGAGTTCTTTAACGGGCCTGAAAGGTGTTGAGCCAAAAAAACATAAATTCGATCAAAATTCCCCAAACCTGCGGGAAAACGCCAGTTTCTTGACTTTGATTCTTTTGACGAGAGCCTGATTCCAGCGTGCCGTGACACATACATATACGAGAGCCTGATTCCAGCGTGCCGTGACACATACATATACGAGAGCCTGATTCCAGCGTGCCGTGACACATACATATTTTGATTCTGACTCCCGGTGACTACATACAACACTACCCTGGCTGGACGGTCACTATACGTTGGGCAGCGTCTCACAACACTTAGATGAACACCTTAAAACAACATGGCCGACACCGAGGTAACGATTGCTGTGAGTTGAGGAAATCCCTCTCGATCAGATCTCTTTGCCGTTCCTGTCCTTGGCCTTGAAACACATGGCGAGGACGAAGCCTGGGAGAAGACACGGAGGGTTTTTACATACCATTTGTTTGTTTGTTTGTTTGTTTGTTTGTTCGAGTAAAGAGAAGCGCATCGACAAATTGTTGGTCATTTAGCGCTGGGAAAAAGTAACGTTAGTAAGACTAGACGGACAGACAGAAACAACAGAGGGAAAAAAAAAAAGTAGGACCTACCAGTGACACCCTCCTACCACCCACACAGACAGAAACAACAGAGGGAAAGAAAAGAAGTAGGACCTACCAGTGACACCCTCCAACCACCCACACAGACAGAAACAACAGAGGGAAAGAAAAGAAGTAGGACCTACCAGTGACACCCTCCTACCAAACAACAACACAAAAACCCCAAGACTCGACATATGCTGCAGAAGTAGAGATAAGTAGATCAACGCATCAACCATCAGAAAAAAATCCTCCCCAGAAAAATCTAAAAAATGGAATTTCATAGAACAGAACACAGACACAACCACGGGAAAGAAGAGAAGTCGGACTTTTTATTGTTTGTTTTAGTTGAGGTTTTACAGCGCTCGCAACTGCATAAGGTCATACGAGCACCAAGGGGTGGATGTCAACAGAGAAGTCCTTACAGGGAATCAGACTCACTCTGCTCACCTCTCTAGCTTCAACAGCACAAGGTCTGCTTCGACTATCAGGACACCCCAGAAATAGAGGGTCACAAGAGAGTGACAAACATACAAAAGAAGTAGAGGAGAAAATGACGAGAGTAAGGATTAGGAAAGAAAAAGCAGCAGTTCCCTGTTGAAGTTCAGGCACAGTTATGAGCATGACGTTGATGAATCAGCTCATTTACAATTAAGAACAAACGGGCTAACCCAGATTTCGGGGGTTTCCACAAATCTAGACCAACACCAAAAGTGGGCATTTCCCTACCTATAGGAAAAGTTTGGTTTCATAAGTGTGTATTTTTGCTCGGTTATAGAGAAAAATCTCCTTGTCTTTTAACCCTGTCCGTACGTTGTGTTTTACTTTCGTATCCATACGACGTGGGGAACTCTGTGCCACCACTTTCCAAAGAGGAAATTTACTCGTTAATCCGATCCGTACGCTTTGCTTAGAAGTCTGTCAAAATGATTTTTTGAGAAATACTGAAAGTTTCAAAGAGATCTTGGCACTAGAAGTATTCTAAAATGTGAAGAATACAAACCCGGGGGTACAGAGAGGGTTAAACTAAGGTAAATTCACCCCACGGTACTGCCACCCACTTGACCGCCCGAGGTACACGCTGCACACGCTGCACGGCACTCTCTGGTTGGTGACTTGACGAAAACGTCGAGGTACCCCCAGGGGCGGTGCTACTGACTGAAGTGTCTTTAGGCCATTCCTAACGGGGAGAGATTCATGTTCTTAGGTACAGTAGAATTGTAAATGGGCTCATTCATCAATGTCATGTTCAAAACTGTGCCTGAACTGCAACAGGGAATTGCTGCTTTCTCTTTCCTAATCCTTACTATCATCATTTTTTTCTCTACTTCTCTTGTGACCCTCTATTTCCGGGGTGCCTTGATAGTCGAAGCAGACTTTGTGCTGTTGAAGCTAGAGAGGTGAGCAGAGTAAGTCTGATTCCCTGTAAAGACTTCTCTGTTGACACCCACCCCTTGGCGCTCATATGACCGTATGCAGTTGTGAGCGCCGTAAAACCTTTCTGAAACAAAGAGATAGAGATAGAGAAGACGCTCGGCTCTGAACACATGTGCATGTATATCACCAAGAAGAAGAAACTTTTCCTACATAGATCACACTACAGACTCATGTTCCTTGACGTTGGGCAGTCTGTGCTATACAACAGAGGGAACCCATTGAACCACCAGCCCCGCTCTTCCACCAACTCCGTGCTTGTCCAAAAGGTGGTGGTATAACGAGGTGTGGCTGTGTGCAAGTTAATAAAACATTTTTTAAAAGTCCAATTAAAAGAGAGAAAAAAAAGGAGCTGAGACGTCCCAACAAGAAAAAGAAAAATAAAACACAAATTCTATAATTATTCAAGAGAAGTACAAGAGAAGAGGAGCCACTTACTGATGAAGGAAAACCCTGCGATAAGAAAGAAGAGACCCTCCCATCCAATCAAAGACTTCAACGTCTGCGACAGAAAAGTGCAGAGAAGGGAGGTGACGAACTGAAAAGAAAAATAATAATAAAGATTAAGAACAGATTGCATTCATATAGCGCCCCCTATCCCACACAAGTATAAGCTCTGAGCACTTGACATCAATCACGTGATCCCTGAGCGATTCACACAAGATAACATATTTCACTTGACTTTACTTTTATCCGTCGCTTATACCCTTTTGGGTGTCGCGGGAAGAAAGAGACGTCTCTGTGTCGTCAGCCGGAGAGCTTGGGTCAGAGGGATGCCGTGGGTGGTTAGTGTTTCCCTGACTCCATCTATCCAGGTCTTTCTCGGTCGCCCTCTCGCCGTGTTGCCATTGAATTTTGTATGTAGGCACATTGTGCTGGGTGGTGTGTTGGTAATCTCATGAGATGTCCAAAATATTTCCAAGTAACAAGAAAAACCAGTTCCCCCACATAAAGAAGAACCATCACATATGTACATTAATTACATACCTGTAAGAACCATCACATATGTACATTAATTACATACCTGTAAGAACCATCACATATGTACATTAATTACATACCTGTAAGAACCATCACATATGTACATTAATTACATACCTGTTAGAACCATCACATATGTACATTGATTACATACCTGTAAGAACCATCACAACCATACAACCATCACAACCATACATTGATTACATACCTGTAAGAACCATCACATATGTACATTAATTACATACCTGTAAGAACCATCAAAACCATACATTGATTATAACTGAGCGCCTGATTCCACTGCGTCGTGATACAAATGCAATTATTAACCCTTCCAGCCCCAGCCATTTTGGTGTTATCCCTAATCCAAGTCCCAGCCAATACAGCAGCATTTCAGAAAAAGAGGCATTCATTCTAAAAAGTGATGTAGTATTTTGTAATGAGGTTTCGCAAGGATGCCCCACTCGACTGCCCGCTGTGTGACTGCCAGGATGAAACAGCACCACACCACCTCTTTAACTGCCCAACACTTTGTGACCTGCGTAGCACCTACCTACCTGCCTCCCCAGACATCGGAAATACTCTATACAGCGACAATACACAGCTGATAAAAACCTGTAAATTCTTTGCCATATCGACAGACCGTATCAGGGCTAGAACCCAAATGGCCGCTGGATCGGAAAAGTAAAGTAATGAGGTTAAAATAGTAACTAATACATGACGGTGTTTAATTTTTAAAGGAAATGGACGAATTTTATGAAAATTAAAGTTTAATTAGGTCTGCTGCCATTTTGAAAAAGGCACACATTCGGTACCCCACGAAACGGAAAATATATGCACTTGGGACTGTGGGAGGTACAAACACTGCTGAAAATATGCACGCGTGGGGCTGGAAGAGTTCAGTGTAGTGATGGGCCATATCAGCAATATCAAAGTCCATGCCATATCCATATTTTTAACAAAATTATTATCGACAAATTGGAATTCGCCATCAAATACATCGATATATCGATAATTATCGAGTCTGATCAATATTTCAACGCCCGAAACACGGCTGTCTTATATATATATATATATATATATATATAAAGAATTTTTTTCTTCCATTTTTCTTTTAATTCATTTTGTGTGTGTGTGTGTGTTTTATTGTGAGGGAAAACATAAAATCTGCTGAGTCCATCTGCTGAGTCCATCTGCTGAGTCCTAGAAATACGTTGCTGAGAGGTGGCCATATCAAAATATCGATATTTTTCTCACTGCTTCGATACGATATCAAAATGTGTAAAAATATCGATACATCGATATTTCAATTCCATATGCCCACCACTAGTTAAGTGTAGACAAAAAAAATACACACGTACCAGCGATGAGAAGAGAAGCCCGTAGTTAATCCCGAGATATTTGGGACCAAAGCACTTGGCCGAGGCGGTGGGGAAGAGGGAAAACGTCCCGGAAAAACAGCCAAACAGCAGACAGACGTAGGCGAAGAAATAGGCCTTGTCGCCGAGCGAGGTGAGGTTGAAGGTGAGCATCAGGCAGGTGAAGGCGGCCGTCATCAGCAACATGGAAACCTGTAGGGAGGGAGATGAAGGGACTATAATATTGTAGACGAATAATATACGAGCCTTTGCCAATAGGTGGGGATTTCTTCATATATATATAATATATATACCTTACAAAATTCTTTCCAATTCCAATAAAAAAAAAGGTGCTACAGCTTTGATAATTCTATATGTTGTGCTTTATATGATGTTTCAGCTATGGGAGAATAGAAATAGCAGTCGGCTATCAAAAGAAATCTTACAAATATTTTTAGTTCTGAAGTCGATGTACATGTAATTTTGAAAGCAAATCGTGACGCGTCGAGTTTGTAGTTTTTCTGTGGTCAAGTTCAACAATGAAATAGTTGCGGAGAGACTCGTCCTTCTCCACTTTCACTGCTACAACTACAGTATTTGTGCTGCTGTATCAGGAACAATGATATCTGTGGCTGTGATTTCTTTGTCAGCCTTCTAGATTGTCATTTTCCAGCACAACTCGTGTAGTCTATTCTCAAGGCCACTTGGAGTTGGAGTCCCCGTGACTTCGATTCCCCCGGCCATTTTGGGGCCCTGGAACGAGCATAATATCGTCCATGTTTACTCTCTGCCCTGACTGATTCCCAGGCTGTGACTGGACGTAATTTTGCAGAAAACGGAAATCCCGCCACGCCTCGCGATGTGTCATCATTTGTTATGTTCGAAAGAACCAATCAGAAAACGAGAACTACTAGGTGTGGAGGAACGTGCATGGTTCCTGTGGATCCATTCCAAGCGTATTGTCGTGCGATGTAAGACGGCGAGAACAATAACTATGGATGGGACAAATCCATTTACGTTTTCTTATGTTGTCATCAGATCTAAACATTTTATGTTGGAAAATTGAAACAAGTGATGGTTAACATCGCACTGTGTTTCAATGGTCAAGTAGTGGTAGATGCATGTAACCACCTATGGTCAAGTAGTGGTAGATGTATGTAACCACCTATGGTCAAGTAGTGGTAGATGTAACCACCTATGGTCAAGTAGTGGTAGATGTATGTAACCACCTATGGTCAAGTAGTGGTAGATGTATGTAACCACCTATGGTCAAGTAGTGGTAGATGTATGTAACCACCTATGGTCAAGTAGTGGTAGATGTATGTAACCACCTATGGTCAAGTAGTGGTAGATGTATGTAACCACCTATGGTCAAGTAGTGGTAGATGTATGTAACCACCTATGGTCAAGTAGTGGTAGATGTATGTAACCACCTATGGTCAAGTAGTGGTAGATGTATGTAACCACTTATGGTCAAGTAGTGGTAGATGTATGTAACCACCTATGGTCAAGTAGTGGTAGATGTAACCACCTATGGTCAAGTAGTGGTAGATGTAACCACCTATGGTCAAGTAGTGGTAGATGTATGTAACCACCTATGGTCAAGTAGTGGTAGATGTATGTAACCACCTATGGTCAAGTAGTGGTAGATGTATGTAACCACCTATGGTCAAGTAGTGGTAGATGTAACCACCTATGGTCAAGTAGTGGTAGATGTAACCACCTATGGTCAAGTAGTGGTAGATGTATGTAACCACCTATG